GTTCTCCCTCGGGCCACACGGAGCACGCGAATGCGTGCAGCGCGGCGCAGGACTGCGGCAATGCGCTTGGCTCGCGCGCTCACTCCCGCGCGGCGCCCGCTGGCAAAGTCGATGCCCAGGTTCCTCGCCGAGCCCTTGAGCTTGCCGCGCAGGGGGCGACAGCGCCCCGTGACCTCGCGCCCGCAGTCGGACGAGTTGGACAGCACGACGCCCTCGCCATCGTTGGCGACGAGCCCGTCCGCCGAGAGGTCGTCGCGAATCCTCTTGTAGGCCGCGCTGACGTTGGCCGCCAAAGCTCTTGGTGGCCCGACCTTGCTGAGCTGGACGACGTCGACCGCGTTGCCCACGTCCACCGCGCGTAGCGCCGCGATCTCGCCCAGCCGTGGAACGAGGAATATGCGCAAGCATAGGTCGGCAAAGCTGCAGCCTGCCACCACTCCGCGCTTCGGGCTGCACCAGCCCATGGCGACGCCGTCCACGGTGACCAGCCTCGGCAAGGCGCACAGCCTGACGAGCATCCTCATCAGCATCATGTTGAAGCCCATTACGCGGGCACGCTCGACCAGCAGCGCCCACGGGATGTGTTCGTAGGCCTTGGGGAGGTCCATGAGCACCGTGCAGGACGCCTGCCTACGATGAGTTGCCACCTCTGCGCTTGCCGCCTGGATCCACACGCACGTCTCGCAGCTGTGGCCAGCTGTGCCGTAGACGTAGTCCTTCTGGTGGTCGCTGGCCCAACGGGCGCCGAGCGTGCCGCGCGTCCAGCGCGTGAATGGCCTCGAGGAGCCTGCGAACAGCCCGATGGTGCGGAACCCCGACTCGGCCATCGGGACGAGCGCCATCTGCAGCACGGCCAACGCCTTCGGCACATGATCGAGGGCCAGCATGTGCCGCCAGACCGCTGTCAGGGCCACCAGCGCACCGTCCGACAGGAAGGTGGCGTGCCGCGGGTGAAAGGCGTCGCCCCCCAGGCCCGTGATGCGCGGGAAGGAATGGCCCACCTTCCGCGGCTCGTCGGGCGTCGGCAGCGGGGGGCATCGCCAAGTTCCCTGGGCCAGCGGATTGCCGCCAGCCCCATCGCCCTGGCTCCACAGGGCGTGCCGCGGTCTGATAGCCGCGTCCGCCGCCTCTTGTGCCGTCTGCAGCCCCACCGCTGGCGACCAGCGCGCCGCCGCCCATGGGGCTGGCTCGCGGATCCAGCGGAACGCCTTGCGCATGCCATCTGCTGCAGTGGCGTCACGCGCCCAGTCGATCCAGGCCTTGTAGCGCCTGTACGACGCCCCCCCTGCTGCCGTCACCGCCTGATGGCGCGGGAGGGCCAGCAGCTCGTCGCACTCGACCTCGGCGAGGCGATGCAGGCGCCGCGCCAGCCGCCGCCAGGTGCGCCACGCCGTCTGCTCGCAGCCAGGGACGGGTGGCCTGAAGCGCAGGAGCTTCACCTGCAAGCTCCTGGCGTGGGCCCGAGCGGCCTGCCCCCCCGCCCGCAGCAGCCGCCGCTCCTGCACCCTGTCCGCCAGCCAGCCCCAGTGTGCATCGCCTGGGTTTGGCCGCATGGTGGGCTGCCAGCTGCTGGATCGGTGGCGCTCCAGCTGCGTCTGGACCAGCTTCGCGCCCTCGTTCCTGCCGATGTACCTGATGGCCTCGCGCGTGCCCTCCAGGTCGAAGTGCCCCAGCAACTCACCCTCGTACCTGTCTGAGACCTTCGCGCATGCGGCTTCGGGCTCGCAGGCGTGGCGACTGAGTCCAGGCCGGCGCGAACGTCAGCCCAGTCAGGCCCAGGCAGCTGAGGCCCAATCAAGGCCTGGGCAGGGAAAGCGCGGGCCTCGCGCACCCGCGTCACCAGCCCACCAGGCCTGGGCAGCGCCAGCTGCAGGAGGACCGCGCGGTGCGTCCTGACGTCGAAGTGGTCGCACCTGCTGACGCTCTGGACGGGCGCGTCGACGTCCACGCAGAAGTAGTCGAGCTCCCGCGCCGACGTCGCCGTGATGCAGGCTGCCTCGCCCGAACACGCCAGCCGTGCACCCACGGCAGGTAGCAGGTGCGCCTCATTCACCACGTCGGGCAGCACGTTCCAGTCGGCCCCCACGACGAAGGGGCGGTGCATGGCCCTGATGACAGAGCCCAGGTTGGTGAGCATGTCCAGGTTGAAATCGCTCAAGTCCTGGCTAGTGTGAAAGTACGCCGATACCATGAGTGCACCCGCTGTCGAGCCCAGCGAGGTCATCCAGAATCCCATGCGGGCCGAGCAGCGGATGGAGATGCGGTCGTCGCTGAACTCGACACGTCGAATCCGCACCCACGGCCGCACCAGGATCCCCACGCCTGAGGAAACGCCGCCAGCGGCCGTGGCGAACGCTGGGATGAGGTCAGCCACCTAGCCCGCCCGCTTAGCTGCGCGCGCAGCTGCTGCCAGTCGTAGGTTGCCGTGGAGGCGGTGTTCCTGCAATAGTATGGCCTAGACCTAGTCGTCGACGTGGCCGCGCTCCAGCTGCTCCAGGCAGGGGCCCCAGCCCGTGACGTTCACCGTCATGACCATCCTGGTGTCGCAGCTGCCCCTGCGGGCCGATGTCCCAGTTCGTGCCCGAGGCGGCTCGACCTCCATGGAGGGCCTCGCGCTGCGGGTGCCCCGAGGGGGCTCGACCTCTGACGAGGGCCGCACGCTGCGGGGAGGGAACGATGACCCAGTCCATGCCCCAGGCGGCTCGACCTCCGAAGAGGGCCGCGCGCTGCGGGAACCCCGAGGTGGCTCAAGCTCCGTAGAGGGCCGCGCGCTGCGGGGTGAAGCACCTGGCCGAAGGTGTTCATCCCCCCCGACGTGTTCCTTGAGCGTCGGTGCTGCGACTGTGGGCCCCCCTGTCGGCTGCCAGGAGCCGCTAGGTTCCTCCTCACTCGCAGCGCCAGCTATAACAGGGCTAGCCCATGGCCTTGAGCTTCGACGGCGCTGTCCTCTCGTACGTCTCGTGCCAAGGAGGTCGCGGGGGCAGTCGCGGTGGTAGGTGAGGTCCAGTTGGCGTCGTAGCACTCCCCTGAGTAGCCGAACGCCGACACGGACTCGCTGTCGTAGTAAGAGATAGGGCTGGCCTCGCACTCCCCCGAGTAGACCTCCAGCCCAGTGTGGTTCATAACGTGGCGGATGCACCGCCCCTTGGCCAGGTCGTCCGACTCCCTGGCGATAGCTTCAGCGTGCTCCGCCAGCTGGCGCACCCACTTCCCATGGCCCAGGGCCCACTGCAGCTCGAGCGCCCGCCTGCGCTCAGGTTCCTGGACCCTGGTCGCCCCGAAGGGGTAGCCCGCCTGCCAATCGCACGGCTGCCCGCGCACGTCACCGAGGGGCGCCGCATGCGCAGGCGCGCGGCGGCGCAGGCCTCGCCTCGCGCGTCGTGCGAAGCGGAGCTCACGCTGCCGCTCCGCCGCCACGCCCGCCGCCTTTGGCTGCTGCTGTTGGCGTGGCCGCCTTGGCCGGCGGAGGCCCCCCAGCTGCCTTCCCCGATGCGGCCAGGCGTGCCCGCCCCTGCGCCAGGACGTGTGGGGCTGGGGTTGATGCGGCGCCTGGGGCCTCCGACGCTGCCGCCGCCGTCGTCGCCGAGGCCGCGGCCGCAGACGGCGCCGCGGCTGCCGCTGGGGCGTCCGCCTCCCGCGCTGCCGCCGGCGCCGCGGCGGTCGCACTCTCAGCCGCAGGGTTGCCGTTCTCGGCCCCGTCCGTCCTGCGCTTCTTGGACTTGAGGCGCTCGCGCTGCTCACGATGTGCCTCCTCCAGTTTCTTGACGTCCTCCTTGAACTGGCCGAAAGCCTCCCGCGCCAGGGAGCCGAACTTGTCCTGCAAGTCCTGGCGACGACGCTGGACCTCCTGGCGGTCGCTGTCCTCAACCACGAATCCGTCCAGCTCCTCCAGGCCGAAAAGGCCCTCGTCGCCCAGCGCCCACGCAGTCTCGCCCGCCAGGACGGCCGAGATGCTGAGCTTCGGCACCGCCGACGAAGCCACGGGCTGCGGGGCCACCGTCGTCGCCAGCGCCTGCACCGCCGCCGTGTACGCCTGGGTGGCGCGCGCGAGGGCCTCGGAACGCTCCGCCACACACGCCTTGGCCTCGTCCAGCTGTTGGTGCAGCCCCTCAGCCTCCTGCAGGGCGGCCTGGAGCGACTCGGCCGCCGCGTCTTTGGCCTTGGCGGCCTCGTCGACGGACATGGGCCTGGCCTCCCGCTGCGCCCGCAGCGCGTCGAGCCTAGCCTGGTACTTTGCCACTTCTGGGCCCTCGCCGCTGAGACGGAGCAGCTCCACCAGCTGCGTGAGCCGGGTCTCCTCGGGATCCTCGGCTCCAGCGGGCGCCAGGGCGAGGGAGCTGGCACCCCTCGGCGCCCGTGCGCGGCGACCGCCTCGGCCGCGGCCAGCGGGCGGCTCGCGCGCGCCGGCAGAAGCGCTGCCAGCGTCGTCCCGCTCGCGCCATGGCGGGCAGCCTCTGGCTCCTGCGCCTCGGCTGGGCGGCCTGCGCGAGTGGCCAGCTGCGCTGCCGCCGCCAGCGCCACCAGGGCCAGACGGGCCGTCGCCGACGAGGGCCAGCGGCCGCCTGCAGTGGCAACACCACGACCACCATGTCCCATTCCTGCGGCAGCCGCAGAGTTGGCAGGCGTCGGGCGCGCCCCCGCGCCCTGCCTGCGCGCCTGCAGCCGCACGCATCGGCGGCGCGCTGCCGTGGTGGGCTGCCAGGTGCGCGACGTCGCGCTGGAGCTGCAGTCGCCCGCGCGCCTGAGAGCGCAGGCGTCGCAGGCGCCGATGCCAAGCTGGCGACCGCGACCGCCCCCTGCGGTCAGCCGCCGCCGTCGCGCCCACCCCTTGGGCGGCGCTGGGGGCTATCGCGCGCGGGCCCCGCCGTGCCCCGCCGCAGGGCAAAACGGCTAGGCCCGCCGCGAGCCACCTAGAGGAGGAGGAGGAGGAGGAGGAGGAGGAGGAGGAGGAGGAGGAGGAGGAGGAGGAGGAGGAGGAGGAGGAGGGAGGAGGGAGGAGCCTGCTGCAGCTTGGCTGCCAGCCTGCGCGCGTGCGCTGGGTGCGCCGTCCAGCTCGGTTCCGGCGCCGTGCGCGCGAGGAGCAGCACCGGCGGGTACTCGGCTCCGGGCAGCGCGAAGTGGTACGGGGAGAGGGCCCGTGGTCGCATGGCCCTCGGCCTGCCTCCTTAGATAGGGTGCGAGTCCATAGGGTCGGAGGATCGCGCCGCATCGGCGATGCATCGGCGACGTCGGCGAAGCATCGGCGCCATGGCGTGGAGAAAATCGGGCTCCGCATCGAGCCGCATCGCCGATGCATCGGCGATGCGGCGCGATCTTCCGACCCCATCTACTCCGACCCCATCCAGGAGGCAAAGCCCAACCAAAACCCCTTCGGGTCAAAACAAAAGCAAAACGGAAGGCGATTCGTCATTTCTGGCTCCCGGGGGCCCTCACGGGGCTTCGGGAACGTCAGAAGACGACGCGGGATGCGAGACCGGTCCCAGGGAATGGGCCGAGAACTCGGGGGGGCGACGTCGTGGACAAAATCGTGACGTCGGGAGTGCGAGAATCAGAGTCGAGGGTAGCAGTTGGGGGGGGCGGCGTAGTCGTCGGCAGTCTGCGGGGCTCTGCAGAAGCCCGCCGCAGGCTCCGCGAGCGGCAGTCTGCGGCGCTCTGCAGAGGCCCGGAGCGGCGAGGCGCATTCGATGTGGTGCACTTGATTTTTACCCATGATTGACACATCCCGCGCTCTTGCAAACATCCCACCCACCCACCCGCAACTTGGTTTGCAGAACCTCTTCAGACCGACTACGGCGACACCGACGACAACGACTACGACTACGACTACGACTACGACGACGACGACGACGACGACGACGACGACGACGACGACGACGACGACGACTTCGACGACGACAACGACGCCGACGCCGACGACGACGAAGACGACGACGACGACGACGACAACGCAGACGACGACGAGGGAGGAGGAAGGACGACGACGGCGACAACGACGACAACGACGACAACGACGAGGGAGGAGGGAGGACGGAGACGACGCGAACGACGAAGAAGGAGGAAGGACGGCGACGCCGACGACGACAACGACGAGGGAGGAGGGAAGACGACGACGACGACGACGACGACGACGACGGCGACGAAATAGGAGGGACGACGACGAGACGCCGACGACGGACAACGACGACGACGAGGGAGGAGGAGGAAGGACGACCACGGCGACAACGACGACGGAAATGACCACGACGCCAAAGAGGACGACGACGACGAACACGAGGAAAGACAGAGGACGACGTAGGCAACGACGACGACGACGACGCGGGAGGATGGAGGACGGCGACGACGACGACGACGACGACGACGCAAGAGCGCGCGCGCACGCTTTTGTTGAAAATCCGTGTTGCGAAACCTTGTGTTGTTGTAGGTTTTTTGGACACACGGTTTTGAAATCCTTCCGAAACCGATGGGTTTTGAAGGATTTCGGCATACGCGCGCGACGACGCGCGCCTGTGCATTTCGTCCCGTTTTTTGCAGAGGATTCTCGCGACGGCACACGCGCAAGGGCGTTCGACAGATTTCGACATGCGCGCGCGCGAAGCCCGTTTGGTAGCATGGTGTGAAAATTTCTTGAAAAGCCCATGGTTTTCTTGATTTCGCAAGAGCTCGCGCGGAAGCTTGTTTAGCAAATCGGTGTTGCGAAACCCTGTGTGTTTGTATGTGTTTTAGAGAGTCGCTTGCGAAATCGCTCCGGCACCGAAGGTGTTTGAAGGATTTCGGCATGCGCGCGCGACGACGCGCGCGTGCGCACTTCGTCCCGTTTGTTGCAAGGGATTCGCGAAAAAGTGCTATGCTAGGACAAAAAATGTCATCGCATAGTTTTCTTCCCAAGGGAACCTCAGGGGGGGTATACCGGCTGGCATTTGACATTGCGATTTCATATTTAAGATGGACGTGTGGTCAGAATCACACATGATTTGCAAATCCCCCCCAAAAAAAATAATAACGCCGGGGGGGTATATCCGATTCTGTTTTTAGAAAGGAGAATTGACCACGCTGCACCGCGCGTCACCACCTCCCACGTTCGTGCAAACATCCCCCCCTCCCACCCGCATCTTGGTCGGCAACACTGATAAAATCACGACTGCAATTATAGCGTGCAGCTCGTCCGCAGATTTCATCGAACTCAATGGCACGAGGGCCATCGTGGCGCGGGCAAGGCCCAGATTACGGGAGACAGCGCGGACGACAGCGCCGACAAACGACGATGAGGTGGTTGGCAGAACTCACGAGTTCGCAAATATAGTTACAGCGTGGAATTCCTCCGATAACTTCATCGTGTTCATTGGCGCACGGACACTCGCTGCGCGGGCAAAATCTATATTGTGGGGGACAGCGCGGACGACGGCGTCGACAAACGACGATGAGAATGATCACGACTCTTCCGACGGCAATGATGAGCATGACGGCGCCCTGCATGGTATTATTTGGCAGGGATCATGGCTCTGGCAAGCGCGCGAGGGCACTGGAATAAGTTCGACATGCGCACGCGAAGGCTTCCTTGGAAAGAAAGGGTGAAGAAGAAAAAAAAGTTCCTACGGGTCCGCAAGAGCGCGCGGGATGGAATGTTGAAAACTCGGTGTTGGATCGCCACGAAAACAAAAAGGCTTTGGATGGATTTCGTCTAGCGCGCGCGCATGCGGCCCGCATGGTTTTGTTTCAAAAAGTTTCGTGCGCACTACTCATACCAGATCAACGCATGTGCACCGCGTGGTAATACAAAGGGAGGATGGGGGGGACCCGACACCGGGACTAGCTGGAATGGTACGAAATCATTTGTTTGGAAAATAAGCAAAGAGGTAGAGTCATACGTAGAGTGCGGTACCCCACGGGGGAGTGGTAATCCCGGGGGGGTGGCAAGGGGAGAATCTAGTTTCCTTTTTAGGAAACAGCTATGCAGCGCAGCCACTTGCCAAACTTGAGGTTGTCAACTCCACTGCTCGCGCAATCAGCCCACCCACCCATCCGCAACTTGGCCTGCAAAAAACCACGCGGCAGCAATTGCGATGAATGCTTGGCGGTGGTTGGTGCATCTCCGCGGCCGCGCTAGCCCGCGCACGCTCGCGCGCGCAGCGGCCAGCTCGTTTGGCGCGACCGACGCGAACGCGGTGGCGCTGACCGCTCGGCGCATCCCCGCGGGCACTCCAGTGCGGGTCGGCGACTTGGGCGGGCGCGGCATCATGGCAACGTCGACAACGGTAGACACGACGATGATAATAGCGATGCTGGTGGCGATGCTGACACCGACGGCGGCGCGGCCGGCGACGGCGCCGATGCTGGCCACGCCGTCGACGACGACGGCGCCTTCGCCTCGGCGATGAAAGATTGGGAAAAACTTCGGCACGCGCGCGCTGAGGACACGCCAGCATCGCCCGCGCGCTATCTGGCTGTCTTTAGGGCGGGGTTTTGGAGCTCAACTGACCCACTCGGTTTTTGCATCATCGTCATCATCATCGCCATCATCGTCGTCATGATCCTCATCATCGTCGCGTCATCGCCATCATCATCACCATCTCCTCATCATCGTCGTCATCACAATATCCATCATCATCTCCTCGTCATCGTCATCATCATGTGGTGATGATGATTAAATGATGACGTTGATGATGGTGATGATGATGACGATGATGATGAAGCCGATGATTGCGATGATGGTGGCGATGATGATGATGATGCTGACGATGATGAGGATGACGATAACCTTTTTTTCGGGCTGCGCGGGCCGCGCGGAGTATTGTCGCAGTCTAATCTGATTCGGATACTGTTGCAGTCTAATCGGAACCGGGAAGCACCTCAGCCTCCGTGGAAGCGGGCCACCGCATTTCGTCAAGCACCTCCGTGAGGTCGGGCAGCGCCACGGGGACCCGTGCCAGGTGATCGGCCACGGCGCGGTTCACGACGGTGAAGAACTCCTTCGGGCCAGGCGTGGCGTCGATCCTGCGCGCCCTGTACTCCCGAAAGACGTCGGAGCGGATCATCGCGGCGATCTGCGGCCTGCGGTCTTCTACGCGCAGTTGCAGCTCGCGGTGGGTCGCGAAGCAGTCCTGGCAGGCCGCGGAGGCGCGGCGGTGCACGTTGCGCTCGAGGGGGGGCAGGGTGCCCATGTAGAAGGACCCAGGCTTTTGCTCGAGGGTGACGAACCTTCCGCAGGAGGCCGTGCTCGAGGGTGACGCCCCACGTGCTCCCAGGACCCCTGGGATCCTCACTTGCACGGAGCGCGCCCCGAAAAGCGTCGCGGCCGCGCGCAACAGGGAGCGTCCGCCATCTGTGTGCCAACCATCGCCCCGCGCGCCCGGTTGCATGAGCTGGATCGATGCGTGCGCGAACGCGTTGTCGGCGAAGTGCTCTGTCATGATGGGCTGTCCGTTCTGCTCGGCGATGGCATCTGGCATGCCGTCGGCTATGACTGCCTCGCGCATTTTTTCTCCCAGCTGTTGCAGCTGCGGGCGCATCTTCTTCCGCGCCGCTCGCACGAAGGCGGCGAGGTGGGCCGAGGGGGTAACCTTCAATTTCGCGCCCTTGTCGAGGCTGCGGCACTTCGGGAGGCTTTCGTCGTCCACGATGCCTGGGACTTCTGTTTTGAAGCCCTTTGCCGCCGCGTCGCCTCGGACGCATTTGGAGGCGGTTGCTCCCGTGCCCAGGCGCTCCTTGGCCAAGTTGCGCAACAGTTGTGCCAGCACGGGTCTCTCTGCAAGAAGCGGAGCAAGTCTGGGTCCAGCTCCGCCCCCGCTATCGCCCCCGCGCCTTTTTCCCCCTGCGCCATGGAGATGCGCACGTCGAGCTGGGCGCCAGCCAGCTGCAGGAAGCGACGCGCCCTTAGACGGCCGATTGTCGCTCTGGCGCCAGGGTGCCAAAGCAGGCAGCTCTCGGCGTCTTCAACAAGTCTGGGGGGCAGCCTGCAAGTTCGGCAACGGGCCAGCGTCCTCGGCCGTCGAGTGGCTTCGCTGTTTCAGCCTTTAGCCAATCCTCGCCCGACCGCTTGAACCACGTCTTCAAGAAAGGCAGGTTGTCCAGCCACGGGGCGGGATCCTCGCAACCGTAGTCTCCGGACCCTGGCTCCTCGCCTGGGATCCCCAAGACCTCCCTGAAGGTATCCA